CCTCCTCCCTCCTCCCTCCTCCTTCCTCCATCCTCCCTCCTCCTTCCTCCATCCTCCCGCATCCTCCTCCTCCTCCTTCTCGTTCTCCTCCTCATCCTCATCCTCCTCCTCCTCCTCCTCTTCCTCCTCATCCTCCTCATCCTCCTCGTCGTCTGCTTCTTATTATTAGTAGTAGTATTATTACTATTCTTATTATGTTAGTATTATTCGCACTCGTGTTCTTAAGAATAGTATTGTAATGTTAGTATTATTCTTATTAGTTTTATGAGTATTAGTATTCCTTCGTATTATCATTCTTATTCGTACTCGTGTTCCTCTTCTTAGTATTATTCGCATTCGTATAATGATTCTTAATATTATGATTGGTGTTGTCCTCCTCCTCCTATTCATCCTCCTCCTCCTCCTCCTCCTCCTCCTCCTCCTCCTCCTCCTCCTCCTCCTCCTCCTCCTCCTCCTCCTCCCCCTCCTCCTCCTCCCTCCCTCCTCCCTCCCTCCCTCCCTCCTCCCTCCCTCCCTCCCTCCCTCCTCCTCCTCCCTCCCTCCTCCCTCTCCCTCTTCCTGCTCCCCTCCCCCTCCTCCCTCCTCCCTCCTCCCCCTACCTCCTCCCTCCTCCCTCCTACCTGCTACCTGCTCCCTGCTCCCTGCTCCGTGCTCCCTCCTGATCCCTCCTCCTCCTCCTCCTCCTCCTCCTCCTCCTCCTCCTCCTCCACATTCCTTCTCATCCCCCCCCCATCCTTCTCCTCATCATCCTCTTCTTTCTGAGCCACTGTTTCGGTTGGCCCTTCAGGGCTGCAACTGATGAGGCAGCCCTTATCGCCCAAGATAAGCCTGGCGGACTGAAGGGTAGTCTCGTCAGCCCTGTTGTCGTGCTCACAGTAGGCTTGATCAGGCCGCTCGAATCGCACTCGAATCCTCCTCCTCCTTCTGCTCCTCCTCCTCCTCCTCCTCCTCCTCCTCCTCCTCCTGCTCCTCCTCCTCCTCATCCTGCCCGCGCGCGGCGACCACGGCGGCCCGAAAGACGGCGGCGGCGGCGGCGCCTGCCGCGGCGGCCGCACGGCCCCGCGCGGCTGCGCCAGGCAGCTCGGCAAGCGCGCTGCCCTGGCGCTCGGGGCCCGCGGCTGCGTCATGGTCGCCCTCGCCGTCCCGCGCGTCCTCAGAGAGATAAGACCAAGGCCAGGCTAACGGCGACGTTGCTTAACGGTGATGTTGGGAACCGAACTGCAGAAAACCGCGACCCACACTGTCCTACATCTCCTATCTGCGCATGGATCGAGCGAACACGACACAGCGAACTGAAGGAGACCGCGAGAGACGCGTCCCCCCCCCCCCACAACCCAAACCTACATCGCCGTTACCTGCATCGCCGTTAGCCCGATTATGGTAAGACGTTGAGAATATAGAGGCCTCCTAGATGGGGACCGAGTAGATGGGGTCGGAGGATCTCGCGGCGTCGCCGATGCATCGGCGATGCACAGGCGATGCACTGGCGACGTCGGCGACGCGTCGGCGACGTCGGCGTGGAGGAAATCGAGCTCCGCATCGAGCCGCATCGGCGATGCATCGGCGATGCGGCGCGGTCCTCCGACCCCACCTACTCCGACCCCATCCAGGAGGCCTAGACAAACCTACATCGCCGTCACCTGCATCGCCGTTAGCCCGACTACGGCAAGACGCTGCGGGTCGGAACCTGGTTCTCCACGGGCCCCCGGCGCTCCAGAGCTGCCGGGGGAAGCAGCCGGGTCGTGTTCGCGGTGCTGGGTCTAGCGGTCGCCCTCGCCGTCTTGCGCGTCTCGAGAGCGGGGGCCGGGCAGACTTCTGGTTGGTCGTTGCCCCTTCTGCCTCCTCGTCCTCCTCCTCGTCCTTCTCCTCCTCCTCTTCCTCCTCCACCTCCTCCTCCTCCTCCTCCTCCACCTCCTCCTCCTCCTCCTCCTCCTCCTTCTCCTCTGCCTCCTCCTCCAAGCTCTGAGGGTGACGGGCGATCCGCGCGCATGCGCCGTTGGTGGGGCGGCGCGCGGGGGCGCGGGCGGAGGCCAGAGGGCCGACGAGGATCCTGCAGTCAAAGTCTCGCCTACAGCAGGGGCCGACCACAAGAAGCCCAACCCTGAGACCCCAGGACGCCCATCGATGTTTGGCGTGGGAGCGCCACGCCCTTCCATCGGAACGGCATCGAAACCCAAGATACCCAGACCCAGGGCACCCTGGAGGCGAGCAGGGCGTTTCTTGGCATGGGTCTCCACTGCATAGCTGATCGTTGCCCGGGCGGCATGACCACAAAGCGTCCAACACCGAGCAGGTATTGCACTAGACGCCAGAGCGCGAGCGTCGCGTCGCCCCTGGGGGGGGGGGGGCGACGCGAGGTCGTCAGAGTCGCCTTGGCCTGTCGAAGGCCCAGGACGTCGAGGTCGACGTGGAGGGCGCAGACTTGGACGTCGGAAAACCTTTCAAGCCAGAACGACTCGCGCACTACAATTGTCCTACGGAGGGCTGTGGTTTGAAGCCAAATCCTGATCGCAAGCCTTGTCAGATTCTGTACGATGCTCGTGGTCATTGGCGCAAATGCTGCGGTGCATTACCTCCAAGGAACCGCCTGAGACGAGAAATGCTCGGTTTCGGAGTAGTGAATACCAGCAGTGCCTCGACCGCGGCAAACGTTTGAAAACATGGAGACGCCATCTTGCATGGAGGGCCTCAATTTCTGAGAAGGCCCGCGCTTTGTCTTGCAATCCCCGCGACGACCTGGCAGCTACGCTGCAGGCGACGCGCGCCGACGCCAGGAAGGTCGCGAAGTCCGTTCACTCGGCCGCCAGGAAGGTAGGGCGGAGTGAACGGACTCCATCGTTTCCTAGCTCGCCGAGGCACACTCATGCCATGCAAGAACCCTACGATCCCACGCGGGGGCATCTCAGTCCACGACTACCACGTGCTCGTCGCTGGCAGGGAGCTCGTTGACAAGTGGTACGACAGCGGGCAGCGGGCAGCGGGCGCCGCAAGGACCTCAAGGTGAGGGCCATGCTGGGCAGAGCTCCCCCACGTCCACGTGCTGTACGACTGCGGCCTGCAGCCGCATCCTCATCGTGAAGAGGCCCGCTCCTGGGGGGAGCTCCCGGGGGCAGGAGAAGATTCGCATCGCGTCCCCGACGGTGGCGACGAGATCTACGCGAGCTCGTCCGACCCCAGCAACGACGGCTTCAAAGCAAGTGCGCCCGAGGTCAAGTCAGACCTCCTGAGCTACCTGAAAGAAGGTCAGGACGACGATGACATCTGCGGCATCAGCAGCTGGCGCAACCTCGTCATCCTCATGTGCTCCTCCTCCGGAGAATTCAATGGCAGTCTGTACTGAACGCGCTCTGGAGAATTCGGTGTCAGTTCGCGCTGAACGCGATGTGCGTGGCGTTCCCGGCGCATTCGGCGGCGACGATAAGGGCGAATGGCCCAGGGGCGGGCATTGCACGTAGTCGCCCGGGAGCCTGGTCGAAAACATGGATCATCGGCGCCCCTGGATACGTGTATTGCGCAGTTCGCAGAACGAGCTGCACAAGCGTTAAGTCGGGCCTGTCCCTCTACAGGGGGAATATTCAAAAATAGTCAAAAAACAGTATGTGTACTATTTTTGAGTATGTTTGTGCATCTTGGGTGTATCTTTTGAGTATTTGCAATTGTTCGTCCAAAATCCCCCGGTAGGGGGACACGCCCGACTTAACACAAGCGGCCTCTTCCTCAGCCAGGACCCGCACCAGCGGGTCGGCGCCCCGAGGGACAGAGGGGCCCCGAGCGGGCGAGGGCGTCAGAGCCCGGCGCTCGGCCAGACGCGCTGCCAGACACGCGGCCCCACACGAGCCGCCCCGATCAGTGTCAGAGGTCTCGCCAGGGCCAGATTGGAAGAAGTGCTCGAAACTTCGGATTCATCAATATGGGCACTCTCTGTATGCGGGAGATCCGTCTGCCTGGCGTGCGTCCTCGAGGGCTTACTCGTGCCGCTGGGAACTTAGGCTGGTCTGTGGCTTGCTCACACCCACCTGGTCCTACTGCGGACGGCAGACATCCCATACGCCAGTGTGGCTCGCCCATCTTCTGGCGCCGATCGCTTGGCCGTGTCACGATTATTCGGGGCGACGATCGTCGTCGCCGTGATTATATGTTTGGCCTTCGGACTACGAAATGCACAGTCTTCTCGATCAACGGACCGCAATGCTATGACCGCCCCTGGTGGTTGGATGCGTTTGATTGGTTTCAGAATGCGAGCTCTCTAGGCCACCCTACCTTCATCGTGGGCGACCTCAACTGGAGGGATCCGTACATGCCTTACTCACGATATGTTGGAAGCTGGATGTATATGAGAATGGTATTTCACAAATTACGACTGCAGTAGGAACAGATCCTGGACGCGCCCTTGCCCGGGGATCACCACAGGCACCAGCACCATTGTTCATTGGCTGTAAGCTGCTGCCAGGGAACCAGCATCATGGTCTCACAACCTACGAGCTCAACATTCCGAATATTGAGCTGCCTGCGTTTCGCCTACATCATACGGCTGGCTACGAGCAGGTACGTGACTAAGATGATACAACAGTTGAAATACTTCAGAAGCTTCTGGACATGGGATGCGGACCACCACATAACGGCACCATCGACATAGATTGGGAAGATATCGGCTCTACTTTGTTGGATCGCTGGCAATACTGCCATCGGCGGGCCAAGACGGCTCTACTTGTGGCGGTACAAAGAGGGGTGGTCGACATCACGCACGCGCAGGAGAGACCGAAGGGCTCCCCCCGACTCAAACACCTAGTGGCCAACGTTCCGAGACACCGCCCCGAACAATACATTGCACATCGTCGCCTTCTTCGGCTAAATCGCCGGTTCTCGGAGAACCTCCGTCAGGGAGTGGCCGCCTCGGATAGCCTCAACCCACGTCACTGTCAGAAGTATACCAAGACTGCTTTCGAACACATCCTAACTACTGATGGCCTCGGCAAATCGACATACTCGGATGCTCTTACTCACATCACCTCGGCCATCACGAGGGAGAACGCAAAGTAAGGCGAAAGCGCGGCACGGCACTCCAAGAAGGCGAAATTCGCGAGCTGGACCAGTGACATCTTCGCCGTGGCGACGCTGATGTTCAGAACGACCCTGCCCTCCTCCTACTGCCACGTGAGTGACATGCGGGAGCAATTGGAGAAGCAGCGGTGCCCATCCAACCGTGACGGTGCCAGCCATGCGGCCCGCTGGCGTCAGCACGCATCGCAAATGGCCTTCTCACCTGCGACGTGTCCGGTGGACTGGCTACCGACGCTGGATGACTTCCGACGTGCCATCAAGCACACCAGGGACCGCTTTGGACTGGATGGTTGGTCATGTCAGGAAATGCGTGCACTCATGAAGTTATTTCCGCGGCTGGTTGAGGAGCTTTTAACGCCATGGAAAGGCACGGCGGCCATCTGCGTGAAGTCACGTGGCCATCCACCTGCCGACCTACTCGACAACCTCTTTGCGTGGCGCGTGGTAGTGCTTTGAACGAGCGAGGAGGCCACGCGCCCGATCAGTGTTTGGTCAATCATCCTGCGTATTTGCGTTCGATCGTTCGCACCATCTACGCCGAAGCCTCCAACGCACCAATGGGCCACCTGCAAGACGGTCAGCGTGGCTTACGCCATCTCCTCCTGGCTACGAGACTGTGAGGAGAGCACCGACGGCACTGAACTGGATCTTTCAAAAGCATGTGCTAATAGTTGTCATGAGGTGGCGGACGCAGCAATGGTCGCAGCCTCTTTCCCTGACGCCGCTCGACATGTTTGTGGTGCGGCCTGGCGGGGCCCCCGCTGATGCAGTCTGAACGGAGACCTTGCTCTTCCGATCTATGCCGCGAGAGGGCTGCCGCAGAGGGATTCGATCGCCCCAGCGTTGGTGATCGCCACACTCACGCCATGGGAACCTTTGTTTCGCTCAACTGCCTACATGGACGACCGCTCGCTGACGGCACAATCACGTGATGAGTTGGATCAGGCCTTGGCCAGTACAACTACGTTTGACGCCGATGCTGGATTCTCTGAGAATATTAAGAACAAACAACGTCGGTCAGACTCTCAGGCGCCGGTGGAGATCGCGCACTTAGGGAGAATTGTCAAGGCCGACAGACACCAACTGGGGCATCTTGCCACGGCAGGGGTGGTCAAAGTTGGACATGGCGATTGAGACATTGAGGGCGGCACCTGGCACGCAGCAAGTTCGGATTCGTCTCGCCTTTGTCTATCTACGACCGTTGTGGCATTGGGCTTCGCCAATAACGATTCCATCCCCATCAGAGACGGCCAAACGTCTCGCAGCTGCCATCTTGGTGGTGCTTGCGGCGTTGGTCGGCACAACACAGATCTTGTCATCCTTCCATCTCAACAAAACTGCATGGCTATGCCAAGATCCAAGACGACCGACTGGTTTGGAGCAGCTTCTTGGATACGACGTTTGGCCAGTATCCAGTGATCCTGGGCGTTCGCTCCATGCGTTACTCCGAGCAGCAGGGCGCCCTCCTGGAGGTTCCCGAGTCGGGCGACAGGGCGCTCGGGCGCTAAAAGGACGACCAACGACGGTTCTGGACAGACTCCAAGAGAGCCCAACCTGCCCTGAGAGCTATCGCTCGAACACGTTGCTGTCAACGAGTGAGCAGATCCCGACAGGATACGCAAGGGATTGATGATGTGGATGTGGAAGCCTGTTCCGATCAGGTCTACTCATCTTGGAATTTGAAGCTTCGGTTCGTGAACGTTCATGTGTCCTGATTTTCCGCTCTGGCGTGGGTACGACGGAGACACGACATCAGTCTGGCAACCATGTAAGTTCTGTGACAAGCTGTACCCATCCATGCGGCATTTAGTCTGTGAATGCCCTGAGTTCCATACTGCACGGGATGAACTGACGCATCGATACTCCTTACCAGCTTTGCTATGGTCTTCACTTACCAGAATGACTTCCAAGAGTGGCTGGATGACGTTTGCCCTTTCAGAGAACAATATCTGACTTGCCCGTTTCTTGGTTGCTGTGTTCGCTGGGAATGCAAATTAACAGCTTCGGTTCGACTGATCTGCCACATGAACCTGGCGCCTTTCGGCGTGACGACGGTTTCCGTGTGCAGTAATTTCCACGAGTGGATCTACCTCGTTGAGAGGGTGTTCCACATCGACGTGTGGCAGTGCGTTCTGTTGGCATGCAGGCTATCAAGCTGGGTGTGACTGAACTGTTACATGGTCCTGGTGCCTTTCGGCGCAACGATGGGCTTCGTGTACGATAACTTCCACGAGTGCATCTACCTCTAAGAAAAGGTGTTCCACACCACCGTGCGCGCGACGCACACATTTTTTGGTCTGCGGGTCGAGGGCGAGCCTCTTCCGGTTAAAAGCCAGGCGGGCCACGCAAAGCTCTAATTGAGGAGACAACGCGCGACGCACACACAGAGTGACCGGAAGCATGGTCAGAGGCGAGTAGATGGGGTCGGCAGGGCACGCCGCATCGCCGATGCACCGGCGATGCATCGGCAATGCATCGGCGACGCATCGGCGATGCACTGGCGACGTCGGCGTGGGGAGACTCGGGCTCCGCACCGACCCGCATCCCCGATGCATCGACGATGCTGCGCGATGCTCTGACCACATCTGCTCGGGCCCCATCTGGGAGGCCTGGAAGACTGGAGAAACAACAAAAAGCAGAAACACTAATTATTTGATGTTCGCGTAAATTTCTCGGAGGGGCGCTGGACCCCCTGAGCGGCGCTGGAGGCGCCGCACGGGGGCTCCAGCGCCGATCCGAGAAGCCCGCGCAGACCTCCGAAAGTTTGCAGTTCTGCTATTTGTTTGGCCCCCGAGAGCAGGACCTGCCACAGACGGTCGCGCCGTGGACAAAGATCTACGACGGGAGAGTTATCGCAATGTTGGGCCTCCCGGGGCTCAAGCAGCGGCCCTGGAGGCACAGCGGTCCTGGGGGAAGGGATCGGGAATTCTGGGGACCGCGTCTTGAAAAAAAAGGCATCGCGTGCCTGGGACTACTATCAGGTCGGGCATGCCCCCTACAGGGGAATGTTGGACGAAAAATGAAAAGATTCAACAAACATACACCAAAATGGTCAAAAACACTAGGGAAAAATCGTCCCCACTCTATTTCTTGACTATTTTTGAATACTCCCCCTGTGGAGGACAGGCCTGGCTTCAGACGAATACTATGCGCCCTCCTTGGAGGCGCACGTCCGAACCGAACATATATAGCACAGGCGTCTTGCGGCAGAGCGTTGCCCAGGCGGTGTGGCCACAGACCACGAGGGTTCCAAAGGGAGTTCTCGGAGGAGGGGTTCTCCAGGAGGGGTCCCCCCAGGGGCTGCGCACTCCCCGTTTTGACGAGGTTCCGAGGCCCCTGAGGGGGGCTCTCTGGAAAACCCCCTCAAAACAAAAAAAACCTTTGGAACCCTTCGGACAAAGCGCCCGACACGAAGCATAGATTGTACAAGACGCCTGAGCGCGAGCGTCGCCGCTGGGGGGGGGGGCCGACGCACTCAGTGACTGGAAGTGTGTTCGGATGACGTCCGAGGGCACCTCGTTACTGTCACATCTGACAACTCACCTCCCTGACCCGGTTGTGCCGACCGTTGGGACGCACCGTCGGGGACGAGGACTTGAGCCTGTTCCAGCACAACCCGAGGTGCTTCTCGCTCTGAGGGCTCTCCAGCCGCCAGCGGTGCCCTTTCCCCGCCGCCCTGCCGCTTCTGGGCTTGATTAGCGTAAAAGCAGCCCTGTCGCAGCCTGACCTCAACTCGGACCCAAGAGGCCGCGGACCAAAGTTCGAGCGACGCCGATCCTCAGCCACGCCGGGCATGGCCGCGGCGGGGCCCCGCAGCAGCGCCACAGTGGTGGTCAGCTGCCTTGCGGCGGAGCTGGGCGCGAGGCTGCGGGACACGACCGCCGCCGCGCGCGCCATGCGCGAGGAGCCCGCCCCCACAGCGCCCGCCCGCAGCGGCGCCAACTGCTCCGACGTGCCGCCGCCGGCCGCCGCCGCCGCCGCCAGCCCGGGCGGCGCATCGCCTCGGATGAGGACTCCGAGCCCCGGAATCGTGCGGTGACGGACTGTGTGGTGACCTCGGAATCCCCCACGACCTCACCACGGGGTCCGTCAGCGCACGGTGCTGGGACCTTCCTGCAGAGCCCTCGTCGCCACGGCTGGGCTCTTCTCGAAACTCTGGCCAGAGCGCACCCCAGGAGAGGTCCGGGGAGAAGCAGCATCGATGCCTTCCTGCTCCCCCATCGCCCGCAGCGCCCCCGCCCCCGAGCTCGCCCGGCTTCTGGTGCAGCGCAGTCTGCAGGCCCTGCAGCAGCGAGTACAGCGCGGGCGGCGCCGCGAGCGCAGCCGAGGCCGTGAGGTGGCCTGTGTCTGCACCGGCGCCGCCGGCACCGCCGCCGCCGCGCCGCAGCACGAGCGCCGACAGCGCCTCCAGCAGCTCCGGCAGGCGGAGGGCGGGCAGCGCCTCGAGGCCCCTGCAGCTGCGCGCGAGCAGGGCGCAAAGCAGCTCGTCCGCGGCCCTGCCGTCCGCGGCGCTGAGCTCCGGGGGGGCGCCCACCAGCAGCTGCAGGGAGCCGGCGCCGGGCGGCCCTCCCGCCGCCAGCGCGGCGAGCCCCAGCTGCACCAGCAGCCGCAGGGCGGTGGAGCCGAGGCCGAGCGGGCGCAGGGTGCCTTGCCGGCCACACGCAGGGGCGGCCCTGGGCACGAGCGGCCTTTGTGTTAGGTCGGGCGTGTCCCCCTACAGGGGGATTTTCGACGAAAAAAATACTCCAAGGATATCCAAACGATGCCCAAAATATTCAAAGAGGTTTAAAAAATAGTCAAAAAATAGTCCCCAGACTATTCTTGGATGTTTGGACTATTTTGGGGATATTTTCTATTTGTCGTCGAAAACCCCCTGTAGGGGGACAGGCCCGACTTAACCTTTGTGGTGCGCGGCCTGCCGATCGCTGCAGGCGATGCGATCACAGCGGCCTGCGCGCGTTTAGCTTTGGCACCGCCGCGCGCCGCGAAAGCCGCGCACTCCAGGTCACTCCAGCACCCTCGGATCTGACGTCGCGAAAACATGCAGCATCCAACAAACATCCGCCGACCCCTTGGGGTCACGGCGTGTGAGATGGTTCCCCCTCCCCAAACCCCTCCCCCGGAGCCCGGTCCGGCCGGTTTGGAGGGGGGAGGGCAAAAGTGCCAGCCGCATCCTCGGAGCATCAGGGGGGCCCACAACGGGCCAAGAGGGCCCCAAAAGGCCCCCCAGACGGTCCAAGAGGGCTACGAGTCGCCGAAAGATCGCTCCAAGACGCCCAAGATTGCCTCCAGACGGCCCCAGAGGCCCACAAGACGCCCCAAGAAGCCACCAAGAGACCTCCCAAGAAGCCCTCCAGGAGTAAACAACGTATCTGTTCAGCACATTCGCCTCTTGGGCTTTCACGAGGCCCACAACGGCCCAAGAAGCCTTCAAGATCGACCCAAGGTAGCCCAAGAGGGCCCCAAAAGGGCTCCAAGACGCCCAAGAGAGCCCCAAGACGGTCCCAGAAGCTTCCAAAACGGCCCAGGAGGGTCCCAGGACTGCCCCAAGAGGAGGCCCAGAGGGGGAACCCGAATGGACAATTCGAGCACTCGGCCCCGAAAAAACCTGAGGAGGCGCCAAGAGACCCCCGCGAGGTTCCCACGAGGCCCCCCAGAGGCCCCAAAGAGGCCCCTGGAGGCCTCAACACGGCTCCCAAGAGGCCTCAAAAATGCTGCCAGGAAACTAGAGAAGCCCAAGAGCAGAGCCGCGATCCGCCAACCACCCCCGACGAAATCCCAAGAAGCTGAAACCCCAAGATTCCCCAGAAATCGCGCGCGTTCCGCAAACTCCGCTTTTCACTCTTACTGCCGCCGCAAGGGGTCGGCGGTGCGGCGTCAGCCAACGAATCACCACTGCAACCCCAGACCTCATCGCTCCGCCCCCAGTCTTCGAGCCGCATCGACTTGTGAGGACCCCCGGGCCCGAACGCCCGTGGTGGAACAACGGCAGCACCCGGCCATCTCGGGGCACGTGAGAAGGAGAAAACACCGCGTACACAGACACGTTTGCCGCTCCGCGCGGTTTCCTTGTACCCGCGCTGGACCCCCCCTCCCTGGGGCGGCACCAGAGGCGCCGCCAGGGGAGCCCGGCGCGGATCTCAGAAATCCGCGAGGAGCGCCACAACCTGTGTACCCAGACCCCCGACGTCATGATTTTTTCATGACGCGACCCCCAGACGTCCCGACCCGTTCCCCCGGACCGGCTCTTCATCCTGAGTCGTTTTTTGACGGTCCCGAGGCCCGGCGAGGGCCCGCAGAGGCCGAAAATAGCGAAAAACCTTCCGTCGTGATTGTTTCATGACCCGAGGGGGTCTGGGTAGGGCCCCTGCCTCTCCCTTCGAGGCCCCCGCGGCCGCGCCTGGGCCCGGGGAGGAGAGGATGGCGCTGTCCGCGGCGCGCTGCAGGGGGCCCTCCAGCTGCAGGGGGCTCTCGCGGAAGAGCTGCGCCACCGTGGCGCCCGCGCCGGGCAGCGCCTGCAGGGCCAGCGCGCCCGCGTGCCGCAGCGTGCCCGCCCGGCGCCGGCCGCCGCGGCGCGCCTCGCCGCCCGCGGCGAGGCTGCTGCCGCGCCGGGCCTTTGGACGCCCGAGATGGGTACGGCAAGAATGGGTACAATGCCCAACAACAAGTGTTGTCCCAGACCAACAGCGGCCGCTGATGTGGGCAGGTGGATGGACACAGGCCGCGGCGGCGTGGACAGCGAGTCCTGTCCAAAAGGAGCAGGGCCTGCTGTTGGGCATTGTGCCCATTCTTTCCGTACCCATTTCGTTGGTGCCAAGCCTGCGCGGCCTCCGGGGGGAGCGGGCCGGGCACCGACCTGCGCTTGCTGCCTCGCTGGCTGCCGAGCTTGCTCGCCTCGGGGGAGCCGCAGGGGGGTTTGGATCAATCCCAGGGTTCGCTATAATTCCGGGACCAGCTGGCCCCCGGAAGGAGAGGACCCTTCCCAAGAACCCCCCCCCTTCTAATCCCTGCGAAAAGCCACCCGTAACCCTTCCTGGTGGGTTTTCGGAGGGTTTCGGGAGGGTCTCGGCGGCTTTGAAAGGAGGCCAGTCCGTAGCGAACCCTGGACATTCTAAAGAAAGGCATAAGTGAGCGAGCAACAACGTGTGTGCATGCGCGCCCAGCACAGTCTTGCGTGCACGACCCTCCGCGTTCAAGCGCACCGCAACGGAAGCTGTATCAACTGTCAGAGGCCCACGCGGATTTCTCGGGTCGGCGCTGGAGCCCCCTGGCGCCGCCTCCGGCGCCGCTCCTGGCGCGCTCCGCGCACTAGGGAGGGGGGTCCAGCGCTGGTCCGAGAAATTCGCGCAGACCTCCAAAAGTTCATGCTTCTGTAATTGGTTGTTCCTCTGCATCGCCACGCTCTGCGCGTGCTTCAGCGGCTGGTTGTCCACGGCCATGGGCCGCATCGCGCTCACGCATTCGTGCATCCAGGGCCGCAGTCGCGCGCCAGAGTGGCCGTCGAAGACGACGACCGCCCTGGAGTCGAGGAGCCATTGGGGCAGGTAGCGGGGTACGCGGTAGTCGACCAGCACGAAGAGCCGGAACTTCTCGTCGAATTTGGCCAGCGCGGAGGGCTCGGACGAGAAATTTTCGCTCAGGCCTGGGGAAACCAAAAGATAGCGAGACCGCTACTCCCCGGACCTCTCCCAAAGTGCGTTTCAACCAATCGAAGCGAATCCAGCGGTGGCGACGAGGGTCTCCCAAGAGGCCCACACGGGCAGCACGTATGGGTACCTCTTCTTCCTCGAAGGGCCAGCGCAGAAGAAGAAGATGCGCTCCAACAACTCCAGGGGATCCCGCGCGTCCTGCCGTGCGCCCCCGCAGGCACCGGGGCCGTCGAGGGACAGGTGCACCACGACGAAATGCCCGAGGTCGGCGGCGTGCTCCAGGATCTCGGTGACCAGCGCCACGGAAGGCGCCAGCACCACCTGGGCGACGAAAACAAATTGTCTTATACGCGAGACGACAGAGGACCTCACGCGCAGCTTGCGCGGACCGCTGGCGCAGCACATTGTGACGGCGGCGCTAACGCGCGACCCTACGCGGGCGGGTTACGCGCCAATGTCGGCGCGGACGACCCCATTGTTGTGCGAAGCCGTGGGGTGCCAAAGGTGTCGGTGCCCCTGGCCGCCCCAATTTTCCCTGAGGTTTGGAGCCAACGGGGCCCTCTGGGCCTCGTAGTGGGTGCTCTGGTGGCTTTGGGGGCCTCCTTGGAAATCCTGGGGGCGCCGCTGGGCCAGGGCCACTTCTAGCAACACCCGGAAGACACCCGGAAACAGGTTGCCCCCGCAGACCCCAGCGCTGCAGTCTTGTTCTCGGCGGCGGGCGAAGGGCGGAAGTGAACAGGAGAAGGCCTTCTCAGAATGCGGCGGGGTTTCTCGGAAGCCCTCGCGCCCCTTCTGAGAGGTGTTTTGTGTTCGCGGGAAAGCTTAGAAAACTTCTCACAAGGCCAGGGGACTTCCGAGCCTCCTGAGAAGGCCCGCCCCTTGTCGCCCCCCCCCCCCAGGCTCGCCGCCGACTTTCACCACGGGCGTTCTCGCCCGAATTCGGGTACCGGGCCCTGAAAAGGTCGATACAAATCGAATGATGGCGCAGAGAGATGCGGCTTACGGCTCCGATCGTAAAGCACGAAGCACGAAGCACGCCCGCACATGGGCACCGTCTAGGGTGCTGCGGGTGCGGTGCTGCAGCGCCGGAGCGTCAGAAAGCGAGGCATCATCAAATGTTGCCCATGAAGCTGGAGATCATGCCCTTGAGGCTGGAAGTCGAAGGCTGGGTTCCGATCGTGACTTTTCGCGATCTTGCCCTTGCTTCCCAATGTCGGATCCCGGGGTCCTGGATCCCGGGGCCCTCCCCCCCCCAACAAAAAAATGGGGGCACATCACGGCCCGGGGCATGTGCGCTGACAAGGGGAGGAGCGAGGGAACGCACTGAAATGAACAAGTTAGGCCACGAAATCCTGGAGATATCGTGGCCCCCGCCAAGATATCCACCCCCCGTCCCAGTCACCAAGTCCCTCGTGGCCACCCCCGATGAGGGAAACGAGTGGTTTTCTGACACTCCTGGGGAGCCTGTGGAAGGACACGGGTGGAGAACCAAAAAACACCGACTCCCCAGACACCTCCAGGGGTGAACTCTGGCCAGCAATTCAAGGAGAACCCAGCAATGGCGAGTACGAGGGAAGGATAGCGGTATTGGCACATTTCCGGCCGGACTTCCGTACAATTGCCGGAAACATGAGCAAAACCATCGTTTTGTAGGAATGTATCGCATGGCGCCGCTTGGCCGGAAACCGAAACGATCCCCGTACAAAAAACTAAGAATCGCTGCTCGCGTGCTGATGACGCGCGGGAGGCCCGGGAGGGCTGAAACCCTCGGGACTCGTTGCCCTCAGGACCCGTTCGCTCCGCGGCGGCGCCTGGGCGCCGTTCAGCGCGGCGGGCGCTCCGCTGGAGGCCGTGGCGCCGGTCAGGGTCACCTGGACGACCTTGGTGCCGACGTCCTGGTCGGCCACCTGAGCGAGGGAAGGAAACCGGTCTCACGCAAAGGTCGGCATGTCCTCCTACAGGCGGATTTTGGGCGAAAATCGAACAGTAAACAAAACAATTTCAAAAATAGTCCCAAAAAGTAAAAAAACAAAAATGCTCTCCTGACGATTTGTTTGCTATTTTTTCAAAACTATTTAGAAAAAATGCTCTCCTGACAATTGTTTGACTTTTTCGAACTTTCCTCCTGTAGAGGGACACGCCCGACCGCATCTTGCGCGGGGATAGCGACCCGACGCCGCGGCGCACGCGGGCCGCCGGCGCGGCACACCGCGCGGAGACCAGAGGGCGCGTCCCCGCACGTCGGCCAGGAGCGCTGGTGCCCGCGCAGCCGGCCCCGCTCGCCTTCTGTGAGCATCGCCTGGCCGACCCCCATCCCCATGGGTGTGGCCTGGGCCCCAATGTCGCAGGCCTAGAGGTTGACACCAACACCAATATCGGCGGTGTGCCTCCATCGAGGGAAGAAGATCCCGATCTCGGTGATGGTGGTAATATTCTGGCTTCAAAGGTGGCCGAAATATTACCACCAACACCGAAATCTAGGATCACCTTCCCCCTGTGGAGGAATCCCCCTGTGTTGGTGTTGGTGCCCATGTCCAGGCCTCCAACAATGGCCGTTCTACCCCCCGAGCTGGTGATATAGGCTGTTCCTTTCGGGCGTCGAGGAGCACATCCACAGCTGGGGGTGGTGGGGTGGTGGGGGTCTGGGATGGGGATGGGGATGCGGATGGGAGTCGGTCAAACGATACCGATCTGCTGCCGCTCACCTGGCAAATCGCGTCGAAGGTGCCCGAAGCCGGGCCCTCGCACAGGCAGACGACCGGCTGCACCCGCGACGCGCCGTCCAGCGCCAGCTCCGGGCCGCCCAGCGACGGCTTCGCGGCCAAGGCCTCCTCGCCCACCTCGCAAGGAGAGCAGGAGACTTGAGACGGGGCCTGGGCTGGGGCGGAGTCAGAGAATCGGCGGTGGACAAACCTCCCTTTAGTGAACCACCATTCAGTGAAAACGGCCCAAGACCGAAACCGACGGACCTGGACCCGCAAAGAGAACGGCCGTGACGCCCTCTCGCGAACCGAAAAACAGCCAATTCACGAATCGACGTGTCAGGGCAGGAGGTCGATCTAAACTCCGAGAGCAGGGACATAAAGCGGGGATCCCTGAAATCAAGCCGTGCTGGAAGCTGCATCGAGCGCCGCGTCCGCTCCAGAGCGCTCCGGAGCGCGACGCATGCTGGTCTTGCAAGGAGGTCTGCGTAAGAGGTCTGCGTAAGCCCAAGCCGGCTTGGCCCAGAGTAAAGAAGCCTGGGAAAAATGGACTGCCCCAGATACAGCGGAATATTACATACATTATGCCAGACTAGGCCTGTTTCCGACAACGGATATACCAGCGCCGGTGCTGAAGATCACCTCCCAGGAATCGCATTCCAAATCTCACCAGCCCTTTTGGGCGTGGGTGGTCTAGGGTGTTTTGTCTTCCATCCGCCCCTCTTCCCTTTCGGGGAAGGGTTTATTCGTGTTCCCCATGGATGTACACCCCCTCCCCCACCCGGCTGGTGGCCAACCCGGAACCATGCCGACCCCATACGGGCCACCCCCCCACCATCCCTGTCAAACATCCATCCAAAACGCACTCTGCCTCAACATTTGGAGCATGCGCGGCCAACCCGATGCGGCCCCCCCCCCCGCCATTCCTGTCAACAAACAATGCGAAACAAACTTTGGGGCAAAGTCTTGAGTCATGTTCGTGGGGCCCGCGAGCACTTTGAACTGTTTTTCACAAGGACAGCGATGGTGTCAGCAAATTCCCTGTTGTGGGCAGGGCTACCATCCCTGACAAAAATCAATACAACATGCACCTTGCGGCTGAATCTCCATCGTGCGTGGCCACCCCGCGATCATTGTGAAGTGGTGAAGTGTTTTTGGCAGTGACGGCGGGGGTGGTGGCGCGTGGCCAGCTGTGCGCAGGCCACCAGACACAATGATGGGCATTGGTTTTCGACAAGGATGGCGGGGGCCGACACGTTTCCCGATGTGTGCTGTCACGTGAGCAGGCGCACCTGACGCACTCTGCACGTGCCCCGAACGTGGCACACCTGGCGCGGCTGGAGTGCACGGCACACCTGGCGCACTCGGAGCACGTGGCGCATCTGGCGCACCAGGCGTGCCTGGCACGCTCGGGCCCCAGGGGTGCCTGACGCGCGTGGCGCCCCTTGCATGCGTGGCGCACCTCGCTCAAGCGTCGCGCACCTTGGATCGGCTTTGGTTCCCAGTAGCTGTCCATCCAAAGACGACCGCTGAACATGCTCAGGCTCGGGTGTTACTTATGTTTTGGGAGGGCGGGTGGGAGTGAGCTAGACGGCTTGCGGGCGGGTAGGTAGCTTAGCTTTATCACTGTACCACTGCTCCTTATTAATATACACCCACTCGCCCACCCGGCCGGCGGCCAACCCGGAACCATGCCGACTACATGAGGGCCCGCCCCCCACCATCCCTGTCAAAAACAAGCCAAGCCACACTCTGCCTCCACATTTGGAGCATGCGCGGCCAACCCGATGCGGCCCCCCCACCACCCGTCAAAAAAACAATGCGAAGTGCACTTTGGGGCAAAGTCTTGAATCATGTTCGTGAGACCCGCGAGCATTTCGTATTGTTTTTGATAGGGACGGCGGGGGTGTCAGCATATGCCCTGCTGCGCGCAGGGCTACCATCCCTAACAAAAAACAGTTCAACATACACCTCATGCGCGGCCATACCGCGATAACTGTCAGGTGGTGCCCACCAGACACAATGATTGGCATTGGTTTTCGAAAAGGACGGCGGGGGCCGACATGTTTCCCGATGTGTGCTGTCACGTGCGCAGCCGCACCTGACGCACTCTGCACGTACCCCGAACGTGGCGCACCTGGCGCGGCTGGAGTGCACGGCACACCTGGCGCACTCGGAGCACGTGGCGCATCTGGCGCACCAGGCGTGCCTGGCACGCTCGAGCCCCAGGGCTGCCTGGCACGCGTGGCGCACCTCGCCCAAGCGTCGCGCACCTGGGGTCGGCTTGGGTTCCCAGTAGCTGCCCATCCAATGACGACCGCTGAACATGCTCAGGCTCGGGTGATACTCATGTGTTGGTAGGGCGGGTGGGAGTGAGCTAGACGGCTTGGGGGCAGGTTGGTAGCTTATTCTTATTAATAACACCCCCTCCCCCACCTGGCCGGCGGCCAACCCGGAACCATGCCGACTCCACGAGGGCCCACCCCACCACCACCCCTGTTTAAAAAAACAATACCAACCATACTCTGCCTACACATTTGGAGCATGCACGGCCAACCCGATGCGCCCACCCCCCACCATCCCTGTCAAAAAACTATTCACAGTACACTTTGGGGAAAAGTCTTGAGTCATGTTCGTGAGTCGGCGGCGGACGAACCTCCATTTCATAGAACCTCCCATTTTGTCAGAACGGCATGGGACCGAAACCGACGGACCTGGAACCGCAAGAATGACGGCCGCGACGCCCTCTCGCGAACAGAAAACGGCCAATTCCTTAATCGACGCGTCAGGGTAGGAGGTCGATCCACCACCGAGTGAGGCCCGCGAGCATTTTGTATTGTGTGTGATAGGGACGGCGGGGGTGTCAGCATATTCCCTTCTTCGCGCAGGGCTACCATACCTGACAAAAATCCAATTCAACACACCTCGCGGCTAAATCTACATCATGCGCGGTCACCCCGCGATCACTGTGAAATGTTTTTGACAGGGACGGCGGGGGTGGTGATGCGTGGCCTGATGTGCGTAGGCCCACCAGACACAATGATGGGCATTGGTTTTCGACAAGGATGGCGGGGGCCGACACGTTTCCCGATGTGCACAGTCACGTGAGCAGGCGCACCTGACGCACTCTGCACGTGCCCCGAACGTGGCGCACCTGGCGCGACTGGAGTGTGCGGCACACCTGGCGCACTCGGAGCACGTGGCGCATCTGGCCCACCAGGCGTGCCTGGCACGCTCGGGCCCAGGGGTGCCTGGCGCGCATGCCGCCCCTGGCACGCGTGGCGCACCTCGCTCAAGCGTCGCGCACCTTGGATCGGCTTTGGTTCCCAGTAGCTGCCCATCCAAAGACGACCGCTGAACGTGCTCAGGCTCGGCTGATACTCATGTGTTAGGAGGGCGGGTTGTAGTGTGCTAGACAGCTTGCGGGCGGGTGGGTAGCTTGACCACTGCTCCCTATTAATAAACACCCCCTCCCCCGCCTGACCGGCAGCCTACCCGGAACCATGCGGGCACCCCCCCACAACCTCGATCAAAAACCAATACAGAATGCACATTACGGGGCCCACCCTGCCAACGCCCTCCACAATCCCTGTCAAAAAACAAAACGAAATGCACATTGCAGCAATATCTGTAGTGAAGCCGCTTTGTGCAGGACCACTATCTGTGTCAAAAGCAATGCAAAGTGCACGTTGCGACAACGTGGTGGGTATTGTGATGGCCACCCTCGATCACTTTGTATTGTTTTTTGACAGGGACGGCGGTGGTGCCCGCATGGCGATGCTTGCTGTGCGCAGGCCCAGAACGATGCTGACGCCCCCCACATCAGCATCTGGACCATGCGGACGGGGGGGCATCACGTTCTTTACAAGGATGGCACACCAACCGCACGTGGAGTCCGCGGCAAGCATCGTGCACCTGGCGTCCGCTTTGGTTCCAAGTGGCTGTCCATCCAGTGGCGACCCCTGGCTATGCCCAGACTCGGATGCCACTTATGTGGTGGGAGGGCGGGTGGGAGTGAGCTAGACGGCTTGCGTGCGGAGAGGATGCCTTGACCCCTCCCCCTGACCCCTCCCCTGGACCTGGACGGGGCCGGTCGCGAGGTGTCAGGGCGTCCAAAACGGCCTCGGCGAGGAAGCCGGAATCACTTGTTTTTATTAAGGTTTTGGCCCCATTTGGGCCTCTTGGAGGGGGCAACCCAAAGCTCCCCCCTTATTTGAGCGATGATCTCCAAGATGGCCCCAAGAGCGCTCCTAAGACTCCCAAGAGCGCTTCAAGAGGGTCCCAAGAGGCGCCCAGGAGGCCCGAGGAGGCCCCAAGAGGCGCCCAAGAGGTTCCAAGAGGCTCACAAGAGACCCCCAAGAGGCTCCAAGAAGCTCCCCGAGGCACCCCGCTCCAAGAGGCTCCCAAGAGGCCCCCAAGAGGCTCCAAGAAGCTCCCCAAACCACCTAAGACGCTCCAAGAGGCCTCCGGGACCGCCAACGAGGCCCCCAAGACGCTCCAAGAGGCCTCCACTGGGGAACCCTTCCTCTGCGTGCTGCCCACTTCCCTCATCGAGGCAACTCCGCTGGGCAGTGTTTCTGGACGGGCTGGTGGGACTACACTTTTTTGGTCGCGGCCACGAGACAAAGGTCAGGCGGCGAGAAGCAAAATCCGGGACAAGAACGAGGCGAATTAGCTACAGCAGGCACAGGCCGGCCGGCCCGCTCAGAAAGCAGCCGCGAAGCTGCAGGGGAGCCGACGGCGGGGGTAACCTGCGAGCTCGAGCACGTGCACAGACAAAATGTCATGGAATTCGGAGCCTGCCACAGTATGAGACGTGAACCAGGATAACCAAGCCCGTCAATCTGAGTGGAGGCACGACCCACACAGCAGTAACGTGAACCAGGATGGTCAAGTCCGCCGAGCTGAGTGGGAGCAGGTGGGAGGCCATTGGAGTGAGTCGCCAGTGAGGCTCCAGGCTCCACACGCCCGGACGACTGGAGCTAGCCAGAAAGGCTGAGCTGTCGTGAGCCGTGGTGCAACGCAACTGGGGAAAGCTGTAGGTGAGCCTGGAATGCTGTACCTGCTGCGGAAGGCTGAACCACTCCGTAACGAAATCAACACCTGTCAGACCACCCCACAGCGCAAGGGGGAACCGAGCGACTGTGAGCCTCGCAGTGCGTGCCGGCAAGGCGTCAGGCCTCTGAGTGGGGGGGGGGGAGCCAGCTGGCGTGGACAGCATCGCCAGCGGGGAAGAGTAGAGGGAGCTGCACTGATGGTAGTGTTGCCCTGACGGCGAAACTATACCAGAGCAGGCGAATCCCCAAGAGAACAGAACGGGCTGTACCTCCCGGGGCACGTGGCGCCTGTGCGAGGGGGCGTGCCGATGCCATAGGGCGATGCGCCTGGGGGAGCTGCACTTGCCGATGTCATAGGGCGATGCGCCTGGGGGGAGCTGCACAGTGGTGGACACGAGGGCCCTCGGACGCAAAGTCAGACCCAGCCCACCGCTGACACTTCCGCCCAAGCTCCCGGAACGGCAACAGACACCACGTGGTCCTCCAGGGTCGCAGCTGATCGCCGCTGAGAGTGCTGAGACAAACCACGCCCGACGTCGGACAGTACGCCTGGCGGGCCCTGGGGCCAAGAGCGGGGGACACCCGCCAGGCCCCAGAGGGGAGAGGCGGGGGGAACACCGCCCCTCCCCTCGGTCTGGCCCCGCACCCGTGGGACAGGAGAAGTGGTTATTGGTTCCTCCAGGGTCGCAGCGGATCGCCGCTCAAGTCGATGGCTGGTGGGACTACACGAAGCGTCTAGAACTTAGTGACTGCGCATTTGTAGTAAGGACTGTTTTTAGCAAGGACAGAATAGGAGAGGTGATCGTGGTTACTGGGGACCTTGCTGGAGCCACTCGCTTCACGATTGCGTCCATGCTGCGCCGATCGTCCATCGACCTGATTCGCACTTGAGCCCAGCATGAGTCGAGCCAGAGTCGAGCCAGAGTCGAACTGGAGCTTAACAAATCTGTCAGGTGGGCCCCAGGAAGGCCCCCAGATGGAGGCGGCCCAGAGATCTGAGCTGGATGGGATCCCGAGAAAATCGATCAAGGGGGAGGACAAGGGCAAATCCCCTCAAAATCACTCCCTGGACCCCTCCTGGGGTCCATCTGGTGTCATCTTTCACCTTCGATCCGTTTGCGACGGTCCCTGGCAGTCCCTGGACCCGCAAACGGCCCCCAGAGACCGACAGAGGCAAAAAACCTGCTCGGAGCCAGAACTCGAAACTCGCCCCCCCTTCCTCCTGGCCGGAAGCAGCGCTGGGTCACCTCGGACTCCCAGCCGACTCCAAGCTCCCAGCCGACTCCAGGCCCCCCATATGAGACGAGCAAGAGTCGAGCCAGAGCTGGACTTGAATCCAACAGATCCGTCAGGTGGGCCGTCAGGATGATCCCTAAAGCAAGCATTCAACTATACGGCGGATTCCGAAACCCTGAACCAAAAAAAACCTACCATCTCTTGGGGGGCGATGTTTATTTCCGCCAGCTTCCGCCGGCGGAAGCGGCCTCGTTTCATTTCCGCTGGCTTCTGCCACCCGTCCGCCGCCTTCCGCCGAGGAAGAGATGATCACTCCTTCAATCCTCGAAGGCGAGGCCCTGTCTGAAACGCCTCACAGGTCCATCTCTTCCGCCTCCCGAGACCGGGGAAGATCCTCGAGTCGACAACTCTCAGAATGTGCAGTGTTTGCGCCAACGAGTGTTTGCCCACCAGAGCCCTTCATCGCGACGCAGGTGGTGCCATGAGGGTCTACACAGGCTGCGTGCTATCGGCGGAACTGAATGGGGAGAACACACATTTGGCTAACACACGTCCTGAGGATGACTGGTAGCCCCAGGGGGTCAGGGAAAGCCAGGACGAGGACAAAACCGGACGAGGATGAATCGGAAATCTTCAAGCTTCCAGCCGACCTCGAGGATGTCTCCGGCACCGCGGCCTTCTCAAAGCGTTCCAGAACGCTCCGAGGGCCTTCCAGGACGCTCGCTCTGAGAGTGGACTGGACTGGATGTATCCTCGTCCCAGCATTACGTCGGGCGTGTCCCCCGACAGGCGGATGTTGGACGAAAGACAAAAACAAATGTCGAACAAATACTTACAACAATGCTCAAAAATAATCAAAAAAACGTCCCCAGACTATGTGATTACTATTTTTGAATGTTCCTCCTGTAGAGGTCCACGCCCGACGGCCCCCGAGAACGAACGTCTGGCATCGGATGGGGGAGGGGGGTCCGCTCCCCCTGCCCCTCCGCGCCTGCGCCGCGACGACCGCCTCCAGGCCGCCGAGCAGCGCGGCCAGGCTGTGGCCCATCAGCACGCAGGAGAGGAGGAGCACCTCCCAGGCCGGCTGCAGGGGAGGGAGATCCTCCCCCTCCTCCCCCTCCTCCCCCTCCTCCCCCTCCTCCCCCTCCTCCTCGCCCTCCTCCCCCTCCTCTTCCTCCTCCCCCCCCTCGTCCTCCTCCTCCTCCTCCTCCTCCTCCGCGACCTCCTCCTCCTCCTCCTCCTCCTCCTCCTCCTCCTCCTCCTCCTCCTCCCGCTCCTCCCCCTCCTCCTCCTCCCCATCGTTCCCGTGCTCGTCCTCCTGTTGTTTCTCCTTCTCGTCCTCGTCCTCGAGCACGAGAACCCTCCAAGGGTGCTGCCCCACTCCCCAGGGGGCGGTCGCCCCTGCGGGTTCATCCTCCTCCTCCACCTTTTCCCGCCTTCCCTTCCCCCTCCTCCCTCCGCCTCCTCCTCCTCCTCCTCCTCCTCCGCCCTCCCCCGCCTCCTCCGCCTTCCGCCTCCTCTCCTCCTCCTCCTCCGCGCCTCCTCCTCCTCCTCCTCCTCCTCCTCCTCCTCCTCCTCCTCCTCCTCCTCCTCCTCCGCCCTCCTCCTCTGCCTTCCGCCCTCCTCCTCCTCCTCCTCCGCGCCTCCTCCTCCTCCTCCTCCTCCTCCTCCTCCTCCTCCTCCTCCTCCTCCTCCTCCTCCTCCCCGCCTCTCTCGCCCCTGGGAGGCTCCTCCTCACGGCTCATGGGAGGAGGGGAGATCGGCGACGAGCCCAGGGGGGGGGGGCAGCGAGAGGGGGCAGGCCCCCTCAAAAGCCCCGCGGCCTCCTGAGAAGGCACGCCCCCTCTCATTTGCCCCCTGGGCTCGCCGACGAGGCGAGAGAGAGAGAGAGAGAGAGAAACGGCGATAAACGACAAGAGGATGAACCCAAAAACAAGAGCCTTACTCGGCTGAATGGCGCGTGCTACGTCTCGGTAACTTCTAGTGCCGTCGGGCAGTGCACGCATGTGCCCCCAGTGAGGGGAAAGGAGTGTGAGAGAGAGAGAGAACAATAAATAAAAGCAAGAGGGACAGGAGAGAGGGAGGGGGGGCGAGGGAGAGAGAGAGAGAGAACAAAAAAAGATAAGGAAAAACCATGCGCACGTCTACAATGCATTGACAAGGTGGCGAGACAATCCACTTCCGGCGGCCCTGCTGCGCGCCAGGCGACGAATCGGGCACCCGTGGTCAGTGGACGTCCTCGAACGAACCATGGTGAACGCGTGCTCTTGGTCTTGGTTCAGGACCAGAGGGAAGGAGTACCGAAAGGTGGGCTAGCGAGTCAGCTCACGCGGCTTGTCTTCCTGGCGCTGCCCAGCGCCCAAAGGCGCCAAACTATCGAGGAACGCACCCGGCTGCGAGGCCGAAGCCAGCTGCACGCAGAAAGTTTCGTGACCCCCCGCCTCTCCCCAACCCGCCCCCCGGGTGACCCTCGTCGATACTTTCGGGTCATAGCCTGGGCATCCGGCGGCCGAGTGGGACGATTCGAGCATCCCTGGAAGGTTCTCGGCGAGGCGCGGCTGACAGAATGCTCCCCGGGCTCCGAAAACCTGGAACTCAACCAAAAAACCTCTGAGAACTGTCCCTGTCCCCCCTCGTCTAATCCCCGCATGTCGTCCTACCCGATGAACATCGCTTAGCGGATCCCCATCCCCTCCCGATTGGCACCGCCTTGGTCCTAATTCCCGCCTTACCCTCCGAGGTGGGGATGGATGATAAACCCTTCCAATTTCGCGGGCCTGTCCCCACCTGGTGGGACGGGTTAGTGGGGCTGGGATAACATCGCCCAATGGATTATGTTCCCTCTTCGGGGGGGGAACCTTTTCTGTCCCACCGCGCGAAATATCCGCGTCAAAGCCGCGTCGAATCCATGTCGAACTTGTCGAATCCGCGTCGAATCGGCGTCGAATCGGTGCCAAATCCACGCCGAATCCACGCCGCATCCGCGCCGACCACTCGTCGGAGATTGGAACACACCGCGAGTTACAACATACAACGCCAGAATGGGGATAAATGAAACGATGCCTGGAGAAACCAACAAAAACCTGTACCGCGAAGCCCCTGGTTCTTCCACGGGTGCGTTCTGACCGGGATCTCGAAGCGAATCCAACCATGGCGACGCGAGCCTCCCGGCAGCCCCGAAAGGGCGAAAACAGCAGCGGCATTGAGTTCTGTTGCGACCTCCGATGTCTTCATCTGTTCAATAGGGGGCCCCAGACAGACAGACAGACAGACAGACAGACAGACAGACAGACAGACAGACAGGCAGACAGACAGACAGACAGGCCATCATTCCAGACCCAGAGGGCGTTCTTCTCAGATGTAAGGCGCATAGCCGCGAAATGCCACCACCCGTCTTGTTGATGTACTCCCAGACGTCGTCGTCCCAACGTCGTGCGGGATCCCCGAAAATCCCAAAACTTTTCCCCAGGGCCCGTTTTTCATACCGAGTATTTGTTGGCCTCTCCCTGGGCCCAGCGAGAGCCCCCGCAGATCAAAAACTGTAAAAAAACGTCTCGCCGTGATCACTTCAAGACGCGGTCATGCAGGGATACATGGGAACAACTTGGTAAAAACATGAAGTAGGAAGGCGTTGACAGTAGATGGGGCTCCCGCCCGCCCCCGAAGGAGGAGAACCAAATGAAAGCCACTCGATCCTTGAAATGGGAAGGCACCTAAAGCAGATTGGAATCTGGGGATCCACACAGTACCTCCTTTCCAGGACCGATGGGATATTGTGTTCAAGTCGAGCTTCGTGGGACCTGTCCCCACCTTGTGGGACGGGTCCGTAGGGCTGAGATACCATGGCCCAATGAGAGAAGGAGCGAGGCACCCGTGCGAGCGGAAAATCGGCTCGGGTGAGCTGGCCCGGAGGCACGTCGCAATGCCAGCGCTGAAGTGCACAGGAAAATGGAAAGGGTCCACCCTGCAGGTTCGGTTGCCGGCACGTCGTTGGGCGGTGCTGCAGCTTTCCTGAGGATAGGTTCGACGATGCTGACCCGAGCCTCCCAGGAGGTTCACCAAGGCGAAAACGAGGGAAGGGCAGCGGTATCGGTCTGGCTTTCGGGCCTTCCCTCGTGCCCCCAGCGGCCGATCGGAACGATCAGAGCGAGCCCCCGAACGCTCTCAGCGAGGCGCAGCTGCGGGGGAGCATCCCGAGGCTGGAAAACCGCCGAGAACCGCCGAAAACCTCGAGCCTCGAACCTCGAACACGAGGTCCGACGATGCCGACCCAGGGGGAACCAAACAATACCGATACCGCTAGACCTCTCCGGGTGTGCATCCTGCCCAGAACTGTGAGGCGAACCCAGCCGTGGAGACAAGGGCCTTCCAGGAGGCACAAGAAGGAACAAACGAGCCGAGAGAGTAGCGGTATCTCGGTATCTTCGTCTTCTCTTGAGCAGTGACCGACCGTCCCGGCATTCCTACACGCATTGTAACACCTGAATGTCCGAATGACACATCACATCAATCTGTGCGCTAAAACAAAACTGTCCCAACGGGGCATGTTCTAAGAACACGTCTTGCAAACCGCAAAAAAGGTTGTTTGATCATTATTTGGAGAACCTATGCCCGAGCCAAGGACATTCGTGTTTATACATGTGTATATATATATATATATATATATATACATATGTCTGTTTACAGGGCCGGGAACCCCGGAAAGAACGCCCCCCATCCCCCCACCCCGAAAGAATTTCGAATTCCAGGGCCCGTCTTGGGCCTCTCTGGGGCCATCCTGGGGCCATCTTGACGCTTGAAGAGCGGATCGGAAGCGAAAACGCGAGAAGGCCAAAAACATTGATTTGACAGTGGGTTTTCACACATTGTCGCATCTCCGGGCGCTGTTGGGTTAGTCGTGGCTCTCTCTGGGGGGCTCGTCTTGGGGCTCATTTGGGGCTATCTTGAAGCCTCAAGAGCCAATCGGAAGCGAAAAGGCGAGAAGGCCAAAAACATGATTTTTCCAATGGGCTTTCATTGATCGTCTCTCCGGGCACTCTTGGGCCAGTCTTGTCTCTCTCTTGGGCTCGTCTTGGGGCTCATTTGGGCCATCTTGGAGCCATCCTGAAGCCTCAGGAGCCGATCGTAAGCGAAAAAGCAAGAAAGCCAAAAACACTGAAGTTCTAAAGACTTTCGAAAGATGTTGGCCTCCCCGGGCCCTCCTGGGCCAGCCTTGGGCATATATTGGGCCCGCCTTGGGGCTCTCTTGCGTCATCTAGGGGCCATCTTGAGGCTTCAGGGGCCCATCAGAGGCGAAAGGGCGAGCAGGCCTCGGACATTAATTTACCTAAAGTTGTTTGGGAATGTTACCTCTCTGGGCCCTCTTGGGCCAGCCTTGGGCCTCTCTGGGGCCTGTTGTTTTGATACTCTTTGGGACCCTCCTGAAGCCTCAAGAGCCGATTGGAAGCGAAAGCGCGAGACAAACTGTGGAAAAGGAGGAGGAAGGAGGAGGAGGAGGAGGAGGAGAACGACGACGACGAGGAAGGAGGAGAGAAGGACAAGGAGCATGGGGAAGATGAGGAGGAGCAGGAGGAAGAAGACGAGGAAAAGTAGGAGGTGGAGGAAAAGGAGGAGGAGGTTGAGGAGGAGGAGCAGGAGGAGGAGGAAGAAGAGGAGAAGGAGGAGGAATTGGAGGAAGAGGGGGAGAGAGGAGAAAGAGGATGAGGATGCGAAGGAGAAAGAGGAGGAGGCCCTACTGCATTCTTGCCCAACCACTCGCCTGAGACAGAGACGTAATAAAATAACAAGAGGTGCCATGGGATCTGGGGAGATATCGTGGCCCACGCCATGACATCCACCCCCCTAGTCATCACCCCCCTCTTGGCCGCCCCCCACCCAGGGGGCCCGAGCACATCCATATCCACCGCTTGCGTAGGCACCCGACGATCGATCCTCCGTGCTGTGGCATCGGCCTCTTCTGGGCGAGCCAGCACGCTGCCCAGACCCCCGACGCCTTGATTTCTGTTCGCAACGCCGACCCCCAAAGGCCTGGACCCTTCCCCGAGACCAGTTTTTCATCCCGAACCGTTTTTGTTGACGGCCGCGAGGCCCGATGATGGTCCCCGGAGGCCGAACATAGAGACAGACCTCCCATCACGTTTTTCCTACCGTTCGAGGAGGTCTGGGCTCGCCACTGGCTGACCCTCTCAGAGCCGAGGCGGGCCTCCAGCAGCGACAGCGCCCAGCCCAGCTGCGGGCCGGCGCTGCCCTGGCGCCGGGCCGCGGAAGGCAGCAGCGCCGCCCGCATGTCTTCCGGCAGGGAGCGCAGCAGCGGCCAGGCCCCCCCGGAGGGGCACCAGTCGCCGTCCTGGCGGGGCGGGGGCGGGGCACTTGTTTGTTGTTGACCAGCGCGAGAGGGGCCCAGTGGCAGAGCCAGGAGACAACGACAGCCGAAGGGGGGGCGACACGACCAGGGGGCGCGGGGGGGGGGGCGGAAGGACACGACGGGAGGGCGCGGGGGGAGTGGGGTGGAAAGGACACGACGGGAGGCGGGGGAGGGGGGGGAGGGAGGGCGGGCGCGCGCGCGCGCGCCCAGGCGCGCGCGCTCAGCGCCAGCTGGGGCCCAGCCGGCGGTGGGGGGGGGAGCGGGCACACGCTGTTGCAGGGCAGCGGGCTCACGGGCGCGAAAGCGGTGCAGGCGCCGGGTGGGCTGCGGGCGGGATGCGCCTGGAACGGACTGAGGCACAGTTCGGGGAAGAAAGGAGACACGAGAAAGGAGACAGGGCGGGAGCCGCTGAGAGCATGCAGTCCGTCGCGGGGGGGGCCGAGGATGCAGAATGGGCATGCAAACACAAAGACACACACACACACACGCGAACACACACACACACACACACACACACACACACACACACACACACACACACACACACACACACACACGCGCACACGCACACGCACACGCACACGCACACGCATACACATACACCTACGCACACACACACACTCCCATTGGACGCCCCACGCTCCTCCTCCTCCTCCTCCTCCTCCTCCTCCTCCTCCTCCTCCTCCTCCTCCTCCTCATCCTCCTCCTCCTCCTCCTCCTCCTCGCTCCTGTGCTCGTCCTGCTTTCTCGTCCTCGTCCTCGTCCTCCTCTTCCTCGTAACTCTCTGGGCAGGTGTCCCGCTGCACGCTTCTGCACTTCCCCGAAGAAGGCCGCTCGCCTGGGCAGCGCTTCAGGACATCCTCCGTCCCTTCCCCGTCAGCTCTCACCTGCAGCGCCTCCGGATCGGCACACTCCCTCCTCCGAGGACAGGACAGGGCAGGCACCGCTGTGCGCCCCGGGGGTCGGCCCTCCAAGAGCCCGGCGGGGGCGCCTGAGCGCAGAAACTCAGACGGACGACGGAAAGGAGGCGGGTCTGACGCTTAGGCCGGGCATGTCCCCCTGCAGGCCGATTTCCGACGGAATATAAAAAAGATTCACAACATATTCAAAAGTTGTCACTAAATGTAAGAGGAATCCCTTCCAGACTACATTATTCATATTTTTGAATATTCCTCCTGTAGAGGGACAGGCCCGACCTAATCGTCGGCGAGGTGGCATGGCACCCTTGCGCGGTGGCTTGCGCGGGCCGTCGGCGTGGCACACCGCGTGGGCACGAGGGCGCTCAGGCGCTACCTTGCGCGGGCAACTTCCGCGCCAATATGTCTGCGAAGACGAACAGTCTCGTGGGCAATGTGGTTCCCTCGTTGGCTCTACAGTCCTTCCCATGAATCTGAATAACGAACCTACTGCAAAGAAGGGACGCTTCTGCCTCACCCAGCGCCTCGGCCACGGCTTGTCCGACGTGTATATCACTTCCCAGACGCCACACGCATCGACCAAAAATCAAGACGCAAGCTGTGGTCGTCGTGCTCGGCCTCCCGGGGCCCTTGCCGGGCCCCGGCGGCCGTCGAGAAACGACTCGGGATGAGAAACAAGCCTTGGGGAACGGGGGCCCCCGAGTGGAGCAAAAATGGAAGCACTGGGACCTCGGACTTCCACATGCTGTTGGCGGCGCACACGAGGGGGCAGGGGGCGGCGGGAAGGATCCTCAGGAGGCAGAAATGTTACAAGGCGCCCGCCCTACATCTACAGACAAGGCCCGCGCCGTCCTTCTGAGAAGCAGGGGTGCTCTCAAGCAGCATTCCCCCCTCCCTCCCCCTACCTCACTCTGCGCGTGGCCGAACACGCTGGGCGGCGCGCACACGGGGGTGGCGCCCGGGGGGGGGGCCCTCGAAGGAGGGGGGGGGGGCATCGGAGGAGGCAGAGGCCTCTCTGCAAGGCGCTCGGATGCGAGGGCGCCGTCTTAGAAGGCCCCGATTTACGATTTACGCATGCGACCACGACTTACGCGATTTAGGGCGGTCCTTAGGATCTTGGGTCGTAGTGTGACCTCGGGGTTTACGGTTTACACGACTTGCGGATTCCGAGGGCCTGCGATCCTCGCGTAGCGATCAATTCGCACCCGGCGATTTCGCCCTGTTTCGAGGCCCAGGGCGTCCAAGAATCGATCCCGCTCAGGAAAATCCGCAGATAGGTGTCGGGAGCGGCAATGAGGGGGGTGTCCAAAAGGGGGGGGTGCAAATCATGACCGGCGGCATGTGCGCGGCCCAGCGCCCAGCGGGGGGGGCCAGGGACGTAATGAAGTAAGAAGAGGCGCCATGAAATCTGGTAAACATCATGGCCCACGCCACGATATCCCCCCCCTAGTCATCACCCCTCTCTTTGCCGCCCCCGAGAGAGGTGGGGTCTGGGGCTTCGGGGATCGTCTGACCCGGGTCAATCCAGACCTGGGTCAGTCAGCCCTTGCAGAATCCTGCAACCTCCTGCAAGATCCTGCACCCAAACCCAGGGCAATGCGAAGGATCCTGCAGGATCCTGCAGGATCCTGCGCCCAAACCCGGGTCAATGCGACCCTGGCCGTGCAGGATCCTGCAAGATCGGGCGCTCTGCCTGACTCCCGTTTGCATTGACCCCCGTCTCAAGGCTTCTGACCGGGTTTCAACTCTTTTCGCGACGTGAGCCGGGCGGCTTCGAGCAATTTGCGGCGACCACGTGGGTCGACGTGCTCGGCCTCCGGAGGCCCGGGCCCGCTCCCGGCGCCCCAGGAAGGCCACAGAGCGACGCGGGAGGGAGGCGGCCCTGTGGAAGCCGGTGCCCTGCCTATTCCCAGAGGGGGGCGGTGGACCGGGGCGCCTCCGGGCCCCACGGGGGCCCCACGGGAGATGTGTAGATGGTCGTTGCTCCTCCTCCTCCTCCTCCTCCTCCTCCTCCTCCTCCTCTTCCTCCTCCTCCTGCTCCTCCTCCTCCTCCTCTCCTCCTCCTCCTCCTCCTCCTCCTCCTCCTCCTCATCATCATCATCATCATCATCATCATCATCATCATCATCATCATCAGCAGCATCATCATCCTCATCATCATCCTCATCCTCATCCATCCTCATCCTCATCTTCCTCCAATCATCATCATCATCATCATCATCATCATCATCATCATCATCATCATCATCCTCATCCTCATCATCATCATCATCATCCTCATCCTCATCTCATCCTCATCCTCATCATCCTCATCCTCATCCTCATCATCCTCATCATCCTCATCCTCATCCTCATCCTCATCCTCATCCTCATCCTCATCCTCATCATCATCATCATCATCATCATCATCATCATCATCATCATCATCATCATCATCATCATCATCATCATCATATGGTCGTTCTGGGGACCTTCCTGGAGCTGCTCGCTCAACTCGTGTGTCGATGCCGCGTCGAACGTCCGACGACGGTCGCCGACATATGGGGTCGAACTGGAGCCGAGCTGCGAGTCGAACTGGAGTCGAACAGATCCGCTCGGCGGGCCCGGGGAAGATCCCCAAAGGAAAGATCTGGGTACACTAGGAGCTCGACCACCAGAAACCTTCGACAAGAAACCCAACCCTGAGACCCCAGGGCGTCCATTGATCCTTGGTGTGGGAACGTCTTGCTGTCCATAGCAGAACCATCGAAACCCAAGAAATCCAGGGCGCCTGAAGGCAAGCAGGGTGCTTCTTGGCATGGGTTCCCACTGTATGAGCTGTACCCAATGCGCAAGCCCCTACGCCCAGGGGGCCCTTTCATGCGCCCAACCCAGATGTTCAACGCGATTTCCGCGCCTTTCCCGACATCCCGCATGAGTGTGGCTCGTGGCAGGGCGAACCCACGCGTGCCGCATGCGTGCAGAAAAACCACTGCATGGCAGAAACCAAGTCCTGCATCGCATACTTTCCGATGTCACGCAAAACCGCTGCAGGCACACATGCAGCGCTGCACACCCCAATGAGCCTGTCAGACGCGAAGTGCCCGCCCAGGCGTCCTCCGCCTCTACGTCGCCCGCGTCCTGGCCGTACACGCGCTCCACGCGCAGGACTCCCGCCTCCACGCGGCTCGCCCAGTGCAGCCACCGGTCCGCGTCGGAGGTCACCGCGGCCTCCAGGCGGCCGAGCAGCCTCAGCATCGAATCCCAGTCCAGCTCCAAGCTCACCTGTCGTCAGGGGCCCAACGACCTCCGCTGTCCCTCGGCTCGCGCTGGAGAGTCCAGTCAGTCTGCTCCAGACGTCTCTGGGTATCCTTGGATTCACCATCTGGAGTTGCCTTCATCTGTCTGGATCTGCCTCGATTTGGGTGGCTTGATCCTCGCAAGTCGATCGGCCGGAGCAGGGCGAATTGAGACAACGGCACCTCAAAATCGGTCCGCGGACTTTTCCTGGGGTCCAAACGCATCAGTTATCCGAGCTGCGTCCAGCCGTGGCGACGAGGGCCCACCCCGAAGGCCAGGTACTGTTGTCTCAGCTCGCCCTCCCCTGAGATTGACGACATAACATTTCAAGCATTCAGGGGAGCCTGGGCGGGGGCCGCGCGCTCGTACTGCCGCATGAAGGCGAGGAGCTCCTGGTCTCATCTCCCCCAACCGCTCCGCGAGAAGAAGGAGGAGCGTGACACAGGAGGGGGGGAAAATGGAGGCTGGCAAGGGGTCTGATTCGAATAGGCCCAGAGAAAATCAGTCAATAGAGGAGGATGAGGGCAAATCCGCTCGGAAAACGGCCATCAGAGACCGAACAAGGCACAATGTCTTACCGAACCCAGAACACAGAACCTCGCCCCCCCTGCTGGCAGGAACCCGTGCTGGGCCACATTAGACTCCCCGCTGGCTCCCAAAGGAGGAGGATGAGTGGAGGAAGGAAGAGACGAGAGGAGGAAAAGCAAGGAGGAGGGCCCAGAGGGGAAGGAGGAGGGGGAGGAGGAGGAGGAGGGGGAGAGGGAGGAGGAGGATGATGAGGAGGAGGAGGAGGAGGAGGAGGAGGAGAAGAGGAGGAGGAGGGGGATGGGAGGAGGAGGAAGGAGGAGAACAGAGGTAGGAGGAGGAGGAGGACGACGACGAGGGGAAGGAGAGGAGGAGGAGGAGGAGGAGGAGGAGGAGGAGAGGAGGAGGGGGAGGGGGAGGAGGAGGAGGGAGGGGAGGGGGGGGGGAACGCCGCGCGGGGGAAGGAGACCATGAGAGAACAAGACGACGAGGAGGAGCTCCTGTGCCGCCGAGCGCTGCCGCTCCCCCTCCGCGGCGTCGTCCGCCGAGGCCGCGGCGGTCGGCTCGTGCCCGGCGCCCGCGCTCGGCTCGCGCCCGACGGGGACCGCGCTTGCCTCGCGAGGGATGTCTGCTCTGCTCCCAGCCCTCCTGTGTTTTTGGGCCCACGCTCTGGATCAGCAGCTCCTCCTCCATCCTCCTCCTCCTCCTCCTCCTCCTCCTCACCTCCTCCTCCTCTCCTCCTCCTCCTCCTCCTCCTCCTCCTCCTCCTCCTCCTCCTCCTCCTCCTCCTCCTCCTCCTCCTCCTCCTCCTCCTCCTCCTCGTCGTCGTCGTCCTCCTCCTCCCCCTCCTCCCGGGTCGGGGCCACGGCACTCCTCCTCTGGCGCATCCCTGCCTCGGCCCTCCGCATGTCCAATTCGGCACACCCTCACACGCTTCGTGGCCCCATGGGGAGCTCCACCGAAGGCCCCACGGCAGGGTCCACATGGCGGCCCCGCACCGATTTCGGCACACCCCTCACACGCATCGTCCCAACTGCCTTGCGGCACATGGGCGCGGGATGAGAAGCCGGTCCTGAGAAAGGGTTCGGGTCTTCCGGGGAACCCGTGCTGAAAGAAAGAAGGCATCGGATATGTAGGTACATATTGTTTGTTTGTCATATTGTTGTGTGGATTGCTGAATAGTCGAGGCTTACCCTATTGGTTCCTGCACCTGCCGTTCGCATCCCGAGCCGATCGGAAAAAGAATGCAGAGCAGATATGACGGGTAAACTGCCTGCGTGTGTGAGACCCGCAAGAAGCAGAGTGGACGAGAAAGGTATCCAGAGTCAGGAGGCAACTCGTGCGTCGTCTGCGTGGGAGCGGCCAAGTAACGCGCGGGTATGGAGGCCCCAATCCCTGACCCTGCAGCACTACAACTCGGCACAACAGTTGGGGCCCAGTTCAAGTCCAGGGTCATACGATAGAAGGGCGCCCATCCTCGACGGGAGCGTCCGAAGAGCTGCCCAGGAGGTGCGTGCCCCGAGCTTCCCTCATTCTCTGAGCGGCGCGCTGTTCCCCACCATCCTGTAATGCCGGGCCCCCGCTCAGAAGAGACACGCCCCGCGTCCCGCCCCCTTCCCACTCCCCCCCCCTCTCCACTCCTCCCACCCTTGCACCTGCAATGCACATTTCAACTGGTTCGGCACATATGGCCGGGTCTGTTGCCAGTGTAACTTTTTGGGGACACCTCAGGCACTGGGGAGGCGAGAAATCGAACAATCGAAAAGGACCCCGGCGTCGCGCGAGCAGGAAGGCGTCGACGAGCAGGACCCGCGACAAACATACATACACAGACACCATCCAATGGATTGCTCATGGGCCTCAGGGGAGGGCGGCGGTGTATGAATCAGCACTGGGAGCCAGCAGCTCTATTCACCACCGCAATCCCTGAAGGTGCATGCAAAAAACGTCGGAGGGCGACTGCGTACATATTTGCGTGGCGAACACGACGGCTACGACCATCGTTTCCCATCCCAGCCTCGCGCGCCACCATGCTCGCCTCGCGCCCGAAAGCGCCGCTCTCGCGCCCAAAAGCCATCCTGTGCCGCGGGGAAGGGGGAGTCCGGGCAGGCTGTTCGGGGGAGGGGGGAAAAAGAGGACGACGATAACGACGACGGCGACGACGACGAGGACGGATGGTGATGTTTGGACAGACGCATTCCACACCCGGAAAATATATAAAATGGCCTGGGTCCGCCACAGGGGATTTACGATCTATTGCGTCGAAGCCTGGTCATATGTTTGTCGGGCGGCTGCGAATACGCATTTGGCGACCAGTGAAATGCGCTCAATGGATGCCTGTGCTGAAAATGACGGTGGCGCTGACGATGATGGCGAACATGCGCCCAAGAGGGCGGGGGGCTTCGGCCAGCGCCCCTGCCGCTGTGCATCGGAAGAAGACGGGCCGCAGATCTGGGCCGCGTCGGCCACGCAGCTTGTGGATCGGCGACGAAGTGTTTCCAACGAGCGGCGTGCGAACGACGAGGCGCGACCGGCGCAAACCACGCACGCAGGAGAGGGGAAGGCGACGGCCTGGAACGCCCTCAGAATGTGAAGGTCTTCGGAAGGTGGCAGAAACAGACTGCAGAACTCGACGCTGTCAGAAAAGGCGCAAATGCACCGCGCAATCCACGGTGACAATATGAATCGCGCGAAGGCCATGGTAGATTCCAATAGCGGACGATCTCAGAATCGGCCACGCGCACGAGACATCGCGTTGTTGGTCAGATGAAAATACATCATCTGCAACACAGCCCGACACGCATGATGCGCCCCTCCATCCCCTGCTAGCCCAGGGGTGCCCTTCGCAGGAATCTTGCACAGGAGATGTCTTTCGACGTCGACGGATGACATGGCGGCGGCGCGCGCGGACAGCGCGAGCTCCCTTCTCCATCTGCCCGCGCGCGAACTGCGCTCCGCTGCCAGCGCCGGCGCCTCCTTCTTTGGAAATGCATCGAAGGCTGGGGCCGGGCGCCTGCGGCGGCGGGCGGCGGACGGATGCGCGACAACATAACGCGGACAGAAATGGATGCCATCGCCACCCTCCCCCCCCGCGTCGGGCACAAGGGCGGCCGCGCCTCCGCGCGCCGGCCTTCGGCGCGCCGCGCCCGGGAGCGCGGCGCCCCAAACGCATTTTATAGCGCTCGCCTTCCGCGAGGCGCCCACCCCCGCTGCAGCGGCGACGGCCTGGTTGCTCGGCGGCCCCAAAATTTGTCCGACTGACCCGCGGGGCACCCCAGCACTGATCGCTCAGTCGCGCACGGGTCCCCGCGGGTCGCGACGACCTCGATTTCCCTGCCGCCGTTGTTACTGTCTTGCGTCGCGCGACCTCGAAGACTCGCCATGCTCGCCATTCCAGTCTCGCCCCTTCACTTCCCAGGCTCGCCCCTGCACTTTCCGCCCTCTGAGCTCCCGTCACCCCCGCGGGCGCTGCCCGCCCCGGAGCACTCGCCATGGCCGCTCGAAGACCAGTCGCCGCCGCTGGCGCGGCAGGCCCCAATGGCCCTACTGACCCTTCCTTTCGCTATCTGTCTCGCGGTTCTGGGCCCCGAGGCGAGCCGAATTCCTCTGCCCCCGCCCTCGCCGCCATCGCGACCCTACCCCTGTGGCCAGGCACCGTGTTTCCAGCAGCGGCATCGCCGGCCCGGCCGCTCCTTCTCTGCTCACCCGACTTCACTGGGGGAGGCAGATGCGGCGAGGGCCTGCCAGCCGCGGGCGCGGCGGCGGCATTTTCGGCAGGAGATGGGCCCTCCATTTCAAGATAGCTCTGCGTCAACTGGATGGCCATCGTGGTAAAACTGAAAGGAGTGCTCGCAAAGAGCTTGATCCCCGTCGTCTCTCGCACTCAGCCAAGTCAGTCAGCATCGCCACGGGGCCAGTTCGCGCAGAAGAAATCTATGGACCCATTGCAGCAGCGCCAGATGGACGGGCCCACCCCCTGTCGACACCTTCAGCAGGGGCGAGAGCACGCGACCCATGCTCGACGCCATAGTCACGGCGCGTTCGCTGGACCACCAATCACCATGCATCTCCTGCGCCTCGATCGCAACATGATCGCGGAACTCGCACTCTATCTGTCCTCGGTTAGTTGCACGCAGCCGCGGGATCGCCACGCGCGCGAGAGACTTCCACGATGGCAACGGCATTGGCGATTCTCCGTGCAAGCCACCCTCTGTCTGCTGGGACCCAGCGTTCACGCTTTCTCTCGCTCACTCGGTCGCGGTCCGTCTCTTTCTCCATCGGCTGTTGGATCGCCCCGGCCCGATGGCCCGTGCCGGGCGGATGCGACTGCGCCGCAGTGGCGGTTGGAAGCTGGCGGGCATCCTGCGCCGCACTCTTGGAATTCTCGGTCGCGGCATCTGCATCTGCAATTCGCCGGCCCAACGGGCCAGAGGCGTGCTTAGATCTCCAGTAACTGGTTAACAATAACTTTATACTTCGCGCGCGCGCAGCGGCACCTGGGGGCCCCCGGCCGGGAAGTACCCTGGCAAGGTCCCGGGGCACTCCCGGCAAACTCGGGTCAGAGACGGCCCCCCTCCCGGGCGCGGCCTTCCACGCTCCCCGGAGCGCGCCAAGAGGGCCCCAGCAGGCTTCCAAGACGGTCCCAGAGGGTTTCGAATCACCGAACGATCGGCCCAGGACGCCCAACACGGCCTCAAGACGGCCCAAGAAGCTTCCAAGACGCCCCAAGAGAGCCCCGACCCTTTTCCAAGAAAGCACCAAGAGGCCAACATCATTGATTTCCATTTGGCTTTTTTTCAAAGTGTTTGGCTTCCTCGCCTTTTCGCGTTTCCGACGCTCCAAGACGGCCCAAGAAGCCTCCGAGACCACCCCAAGACGGCCCAAGAGGCCTCCAAGAAAGCCCCAAGACCGCCCAAGAGGGCCCCACGACAGCCCAAGAGGCGCCCAAGACTGTCCAAAAGGACCCCAAGAGACCCCCAAGAGGGGCCCAACATGGAGACCACGAGCCGAGAATCCGAGCATTCCGCTCCAAGAGGCCTCCCGGGGGCCCTCAGAGGGTCCCAAGAGGCCCGAAAAGGCGACAGGGGGCCCGAAAGAGACCCCGAGAGGCTCGACAACGATCCCCGAGGGTCTCCAAGAAGCCCTCGAAAAAGCATCCAACGAGATCACAATGAGCGCCCACGAAGCCTCAGAGCGCCAAACCATTGATGTCCATAGTGTGTTTTCAATGTTTTGGCTTCCTCGCCCTCTCGCCTTCCCGACGCTCCAAGACGGCCCAAGAAGCTTCCATGACCACCCCCAAGACGGCCCAAGAGGCCTCCAAGAGAGGCCCACGACCGTCCAAGAGAGCCCCACGACAGCCCAAGAGGCGCCCAAGACGGTCCAAAAAGACCCCAAGAGGGCCCCACGAGAGGCCCAAGATGGAGACCACGAACCGAAAATCCCAGCCTTCCGCTCCAAGGCCTCCTGGACCAAGAGGCCGCCAAGAGGCCCCAAAAGGCGACGAGGGGCCCGAAGAATGCAAAAAGGAAGCTGCAGAATGTTGCATTGTTCCCTGCGATCGTATTAACGAGCCGCCGCCTTCCGAAACAGAAAGTTCAGACGGGCACAGAATGGCACCCGCCTGCGAAATCACCCAAAGCCAACCATCCATAAACAAAAAACGACCCAGCAGCACTCCCTTGACAACGATCGCACGCGCACCAGTACGGGCCGGCGGAATGAGCGAAGCAACTACATGAATTTCACCTGAGCGGGGGCCCCCTCCCCCATTTGAAAATGAAGAGGTCCCGGACAAGCCAGTGGCCGGCCATCGCGGGCGAACTTGACCCAGCGATGCGCGCTCTGCTGCGGTGCGTTGCGCGGTCGGGCGCGACGCTCACCGCCTCGGCGAACGCCTCGTCGACGTCGCTCATCCTGGCGCGAAGCGCATTCAAAGGGAAGGCAGCCTGTCTTTCTTCGGAGGCGCCGCGAGTAGCTCAGCTGGTCGCGCTTCGCGACGCGAGCCAAATTGACAGTCTCCGCGACAAGCAAATCGACGTTCTCCACGACGGACCACGCATGCCAGCGGCCATTCATCGCGTAGGAAACACGTGCTCCCCCGGCGCCAGTAAAGTCCTACTCGAGAGCGTCCAGAGGCCCGAAATCCAAAGGATTTAGAGCCGCGTCAGTCAACGAAGAAATTCCAGGCATCACGCAATCGCGTCCCATTCGCTGTCTGTTTTGAGCAGACTTGCCCTTGCGTGATTATGGGGTCGCTTGACCAGTTCGATCGACTGCCCCATGCGCAGCGGAGGGCGCGGCGCGCCGCTGGTCGGCACTGCTCGCGCCCAACCGCTCGCACCAGGCGGGCAGCAGCGCGCGGGCCATCCGGGGGCGCGAGCGCCGCGACCCATGCGACGCAGTCCGCAGCTTATACTAGTCGGTCGCCTTCTTTGACGAAAATCCGCCTCCGTCGAACAATTGTCTTCTCTGCCTCTTCTGGGCGGGGCCTTCACGGTTGGCCGCGCCAGGCATCGCCACGCCCTGATCAACGGCATCAGCTGCGGGAGTGGTCGCCGCTGGGAAACCCCGCGCGAACCGCGCGCAATCCATGGCCTGGCGGCGCCGGCATGAGAAACCGCCGATAGTCAACCGAATAGCCAGCTGTTTTCTCGCAGCACGGGCGCGCGCCTGTCCCGAGTTTCAGCTGATCGCCGCAATGGCGGACAGAAGCAGACCTCATTTTCCAAGACGTTTCCTAACTGCTCCAGCTTTCCGCCTCCGGGCTCACAGCTCGCATCTTCGCTCCGCTTGAGCGCCCGCCATTCGCCCGGTGCCACCACGCAGCTAAATTGCATCATTCAGACCACTGGCGCCATATGTGTCGATCCGCATCGCACATGTTCATCCGCATCGTCTTCGCGCCTTCAAACTGCGCGCCAAGGGCGGCAGACACCCCATAAAGACCCGGGCGCTCCCTGGCAGAGATCTCGCCACCGGGCTCCAGCAATGGTCGCGGTTGGCGCGCGCTTTCAAACCGAAGACCATTAGAATGCAGAGCGCCCTGCGTTTTGGGCTCTGACATGTTCAGCAGCCTTGCAGAGTCGAAGTTCCCGAAGGAAGCAGCGCCATCTGAGACATACTCTAACCACCGTTCACCCTCGATATCATCACCGTTGACACGGGGGGGCGAAGCGCCACCCGAAAAATCCTCCCGGGCGATGATGGTTCACGCGCATTTCTTCGCCGTATGCAACACAAAATACTTTCGGTCACGATGATCGGAAAACCTGTGATCTATATAAAGGACCTACCAGTGTCAGAATTGCACATGTTGCGGCATCCCGCATCTGTGGCCAGCGCAAACGAAATGCCGCGTGGTTTTCCCCATCCCCTTCCCGCAAGCCAGAAAGATCCGTCTTTCAACAACACGGGCAACAGAACCTCCACAACTTGCTCGGATCAACCAAAGGTTGTCTGGCTCCTCCGCCGAACAAGCATTCCAGCCTCTATCGCCGTCGCACGCCTCTGTGCGACGCTTCGTCAGCACCTGCAAGTCCCCCAGCGACGACTAGGTCTGGCAGGAAGCCAACATGATCGCCGCCCCAGGGTTGCGAATCCCGTCCTTCTCTACATCTGAAGCACACTTTCAGACAGCTGGGCCCACCCGCCCCGAACTGGTGACAGCGGCAGGACAGTTGCGCAAGGCCCACAAACCCAATTCTCGAGCCCTGCGGATCTCATCATTTTCCACCGATGGGCCGTCTTTACCACTATCCCTCGGAGCGAAGCGCTCCCTGGGGTTGATGAAAATGCGTTTGCCCGGGACAGCTCCTACAACGAAATGGCAATAGTCATACGTCACCTCTGCAAAATGGTTCGCCTTGCCTGAGTCAAACCTGGCGTTGGTGCCCTCATGCGCCACACTTGCACAAACATGGTGAAGCTGCGCAAATTCCGACAACGGGAGTGCAACGATCCTCCTCGGATACTGGACCTCAGGCTGCACAAAGGCCGCCGGCCGTGGTGAACGTCATTGCTCTTAGGTTTCGGGGCGCGGTGTTGCACAACTCGTTCTGGGATATTTCCTTCGCGGCGCGCCTGGCAGATTGCTGACCTTCCGTCGCATCCGGGTCAAAGGCCACGTCGCCTGCGGCAGCTTAGCTTGGGTCACAATTGGTTCACCATGGGCACCACGACCTTGACAAACATCCGCTGGGGTTCAGCAGGGGAGGGACAAAAACATCCTCGTTCTCCTCCCGCGCACGCTCTTACACTTTTCCCCACCGAAAACTGTCCCCTTCCCGACCTTCGCCTGTGAGTAATCCGTGTGTGGCCTTGCTCCGCTACCGATGCTGATCGGCGGGCGTCTGCAGCAGACACCCCATTGCGCACTCCGTTGTTCCTGCTGGCCCTGGCCAGGCTCCAGCACCTCGGGCGGCCCAGCATCCCTGCGCCAGGACGCCTACGGAGGCAGCACGTCAAACACCACCACCTCCTCCTCCTCCTCCTCCTCCTCCTACTCCTCCTCTTCCTCCTCCCCCTCATCCTACTTGACCCCTTCCTTTTCCTCCTCCTCCTCCGCCTCCTCCTTTTCCTCCTTCTCCTCTTCTTCTTATGATTCTTCTTATTCGTCTTATTACGAAGTGTCTTCTTCTTATTATTATTCTTATTAGTCGTCGTACTATTATTCGTATTGTTATTATTCGTATTTTTGTTGTTAGCCTTAGTAGTGTTAGTAGTAGTACTGTTCTTATGTTTCTTAGTATTCGTAGTAGTAGTAGTAGTAGTAGTAGTAGTAGTAGTAGTAGTAGTAGTAGTAGTAGTAACGTTCTTTTTAGTCTTCGTATTATTATGATCACCAGTATTATTATTAGTAGTATTCGTCTTATTAGTATTATTAGTGATAGTAGTATGATTCGCATTCGTATTATTAGTATTATCATCATTATGGTTATTAGTATTATCAGTATTATTATTCTTAGTAGTCTTCTGATTCGTCTTCGTAGTAGTCTCCTTCTTCGTACTTTTGTTATTCGGATGCGTCTTATGTTTCCTCTTCGTCTTCTTCTTCTTATTATTAGTATTACTTTTCTTCTTATTATTAGTAATATGATTCCTCCTCCTCCTCCTCCTTCTCCTCCTCCTCCTCCTCCTCCTCCTCCTCCCCCTCCTCCTCCTCCTCCTCCTCCTCCTCCTCCTCCTCCGCCTCCGCCGCCTCCGCCTCCGCCTTCCGCCTCCGCCTCCGCCTCCTCCTCCTCCTCCTCCTGCGCCTCCTCCTCCTCTCCTCCTCCTCCCCCTCCCCTCCGCTTCGCCCTCCGCTTCCGTCTCCGCCTCCGCCTCCGCTCCTCCTCCTCCTCCTCCTCCTTTACCTCCTACTCCTCCTCCTCCGCCTCCTCCTCTTCCTCCTCCTCCTCCTCCTCCCAGCGAGAGCGCCACGCCGCTGGGCGGCGAGGGCGAGGGCAGGGCGACGTGTGCGGCGCTCGCCCCGTCGCAGGGGGGGCAGCGCCGACGGGCGGCCACGGCGGCGGCGGCGAGGGGGCGGCGAGGGGGGCCCTGGAGGGCGGCGGCCACGGCGGCGGCCGCGACCGACAACGTCTCTGCTTGGTCACAGGCGCGAGACCCTTGCGGATGCCACGACGATGGACACCCTAACAACCCTATCACTGAATTAAACATGTGGTTTAAATGTGTGAAACATGTTCTAATAAGGTTTAAAGCATGCGTTTGCATGTTGAAGACATGTTTAACACATGGTCGGGGCATCTGGAAAGTATTCGCCAACATGCTTCCTCTCCATTGATCGGCGTCCATCACGAGATCCAGCACTGCGCTGCGACCCCACCGAGGGTCCTGTCCCCCGCCAGGCACAGGTAGCACTCGCCCCCCCCCCCAGGGGCTCTTCAGCCTACGTAAATGGCACCGCGCAAGGGCATCCGATGGAGGTCACTCGCGCGTACGGCTTTCTGACAACTCCAGGTCCTGCCCTCCCTGCCACAGCCACGACCTCCCTCGGGGTTTGGTGTTATAGCCTCTGCGGGGCTACTTCCAAAAAAGAAGTGCGTTCCCTCGGTGGCACCTGCTGCGCGGGCAAGCCGGCCTCAGCGAAATCCCGTAGAGAGTACCTCAATCGGATCTCGGCTGGGAGAAAGCCTCAGGTCCTGAGCCAAGCCGAAATGAAGGCCAGGCGCTCGATGCGATGATCTATGGCGCTGTGGGGTTCATCGTAAGGTACGTGCATTCCGCAACGGGTTCCACTCCACCCCCTGCCACGGCTACTCCCTCCCCTGAGCATCGTTTATCCTACTCCTATCGCCAACGGCGTGGCCTGGGCCCCACTGGCCGACTCACCCCAAAGGGGATGTATGCAGATTCTTTCGGGTTTCGAGTGGTAGATCCCCAACTGGGGTCTGGACGGTGCTGAGATGGTGGGGGTCTGGACGGGGATGGGGATATGCTCGATTAAACTTGGCGGCGAGCGAGGGAGGGAATTGAGAAGGAGAAGACCGTCTCATAATGCGGCGGGACTTCTCCGAAGCCCTCGCGCCCTCTCAGAAATTGCCTGTGCCCTACGGGAAAGATCAAGCCTCGAGAGTGACTCCGACGTTCACGTGCTGAGGGGACCCACCCGCACTGCCTGCTGGATGCAGACCACACCCATACCCATACCCATACCCTTCTCCCCCTTCCTCTCCTCCTCCTCCTCCTCCCCCTCCCTCCCCCCCCTCCTCCTCCTCCTCCTCCTCCTCCTCCTCC